GTAATGAAGAAGCATAAAGTCGGAAAACAAACTATTAAACTCGTCAAAACTGTCAAAAGAACGCCCAAGGAAGATTCTCCGGAAATCAGATTCTATTGCGAACGGATTCGAAAATACTTTTTCTACCGCGTATCTGGTTTCCGACACATTCACACAATGGCAATATCACGTTCGCACAGATTTAAATAAAACTGCAAAGACAGGCATATAGCCGGGAATAATGCCATAAAATGACCATAAACTATTTATTGCGCACTAGATTTGCGGGGTAACGGTGCGTATCTGACTTCTGACACCTTCAAACAAATGTAATATCACCTTTGCACAGAATTGAATGAAACTGCAAATCCACAAAGATAGCCGGGAATCATGCCATAAAATGACACGAAACTATTTATTGCGCGCTAGATTTTGCAGAGTAACGGTGCTGCGACGTAGTCGCAGCAATTTTGAGGGATGTGAAAAGTTAAAAAAATAAATTCGCGAAATGCAATTGAAAATAAAAAGGATTTGTCAAGAGGTGTACTAAGGCGGCAGGCTTTATTAGAAATGTACAAACTAACAAAAAATGTAGCTAAACTTTTCTTGCACTGAGATTGCTTTCTGGGTAACTCTCCGAAAAAACCTTTTCTAAGGCTAGATTCCTGCGTAATGTAGCACGAAAGTAAGCTGGTCAGGACAAGATTTAACCGCTGATTACGTTAAAATTAAAGGCAATACAAAAAGTGCAGTAGTTTGCGAGTTATTCGCAATTGTATGGTGGTCTTCGAATAAGGCCATTATTCTTTTTCGCTGCAACTGGCTTTCTGCATTGAAAATAGATAGTAGAAAAAAGAAAGGAAAGTGCAAAAACTAGCGAAGCGGTATGTGTTCTAAATATGCATAGCTATCCAGAAATACTATAATTAGCTCGTCATATGCTGCAGTAACTATGGACAGCGTAGGTGGCCGAAAAGTACACTTTGCAGGCACACATAGCAAGTATGCACAAACAAGGTATAATTCTGCACAAAACGCTAGAAATCCAGTAAGGAATATTATGTCTGCAGGGGAATTTAGGAGAGCGATCAATTGACCCACGGTTAGAAGACCTTAGCGTTCAATTTTCAGTGGACACTGAGCCATATAAACATCTCGGAATATAGAGTTTAGTATTTTTTAAACCTCTGTGTTTCTGAAGCTTATATCAAGGCTGCATAAGCCAGGTCTACCTGAGTAACACAAGAGACCTTTCGGATCAGTTGACACATTTTGGCCTGGAAAATACACACATTTCTTAGCTAAACATCGCAAGTTGTATCCCTTAAAGCCTATTTTCTATATGCACGAGGCGTCTGGTGAGCAAGGCCTCCATCTGGTGGGTTTTCTGGTGGTCAGGCGGTAGTTGTTTTACGCCCTATGAGAACCAATCATGATGGCACACGACCCAGGGATTATCGTGCCGACTTCTATGTGGTAAAACTTAGCAACGTTGTTAGCCTAAGGAAAAAGGTGCACTAGTGGGGTCTAATTGTAGGCGAATCTCGTTCCCACATACTTGCTTTCACTGAAACGTGGTTGTCTCCGGGTATCGAGGACGGTGCGTTATGTTTACCTGACTACGCAAGGCTTGGAACTGATCGCTCCATTGGACGCCAAGGCGGCGTTGTAATTACTGTGAGCTGTAACTTAGACGTGCTAAGGACCTGCATATTCCAGTCGTCGGATCCGACTGCTTAAGCCTTATCAGCTGTTTTGTGCACCTCCTGTACCAATTTTACTGTTATAGTGATAAACAAGAGTCCTGGGATTTCTTCCAGGGGGATAATTTTCTTTTTGCCCACTCATACCATAAGTAAGTGTTTAGTTCTAAGGATCTCGACCTCTCTGAAGTCTGTTGGGCCAAAGTTTGTTGCATTCGGCTTCAGAAATATTCGGTGCAGACTTTCTTGTACCGACTCTTCAAGTGCCTTTGCACCAGTTTGTGGACTTCCCCATTAGCTATATGGACAACCAAATACCATCTACTTTTGTTTTTGGTTTCGTGACGGCCTTTTCGTACGGTGCCGCGATAGGGTTCAGCGATCGCGTATTCGTATAACTACTTTGTGCGGTTTCAAGGTAGTAAGAGTCCGTCATTGAATTACTTCCGAATATTCGGCGGGCGGACCTTAGTGCAACACGGTTAGGGCTTCAGTTCTGAACTGTGAGAGCTCGGTGGCTGACCCTGTGCAGTTAGCCTGGGATAAATTTAAGACATACGGAGGTTTCCACTGCCTATATTCCACTAATGAAGAAAAGAGGGTTAAGTGCACATTCTCCATGGATAGCTGCCACGGGCAAGCACCTACTCAAGAAACGATCTAGATGCTGGCGAAACAACCAAGCAGCTCCAGCAGCTAGTGCCTATACTAGTTATCGGGAGCTTAGAAATACATATAAATAACGTCTCGGGGCTGTTCGTCTCCAGTGCGAGCAGGGTGTAGCGTACTCTGCCGCAACTAATCCCAAGAAGGTTTGCTAACGTTAAAAGCGGCAGCAGGACAAAAACTGTCTATACCAGCGTTAATACAAGCAAATGGAAACCTGCGAATCCGACTATGGCAAGGCTTGTATACGTAGGGATCAGTATACTGGGGGCTTTGCACAGGAGACCACTTTACCACAGGTTGTATTGGTTTCAATTTCCAGTGGATACGTGCATAGCACAGTGTAACCTAACGGAGACCCAGGTTTTCGAGCTACTGTAAGGTAACAGTCTCTCTAAATCTTCTGGTCCTAATGCAACTCATCCGAAGCTATTGCATGAATTGGCCACTGAGCTGAGTGGTCCTCTCATATGCGTGTCTTCACTCTCGCTTGACAGGTGCATCCTGCCTTCTGAATGGAAGGAGGCAACCATCTGTCCCAGTTTTAAGGGCGGTGACAACGCTCTGAACGCGAACTAACGGCCTGTCAGTTTGACAAGCGTAGTAGTCAATTTGTTTAAAAAGCTGAAAGCAGAATAGCTTCAAACTTCGAAGTGTTACGCAACTAGCATTCCGCAAGGGATTTTCATGTCAGACTAATCTACTTCTAGCTCGTGAACGCTGGACCGAAGCGGTAGGCAGTGACCACGCTGTAGATGTGCTATTTGTGACCTTTCCGAAAGCTTTTGACAGTACCTCATCTTTGACTCACTAAAGCTGAGATCTTAAGGTATATCTGGTCGCGCCCTTCAATGGTTGTCTGCCTTCCTTAAGTGGAGGGGACCGTGGGTACGGGTGGGGCGCGGCTTTTCGTCTATGCAAGCTGTCCTAAGCGTAGTCCCGCAGGGCTCGGGATTGGGGAGGTTGTTGTTCGCCATCTATGTAAATGACATGCCGGGAGAGCTAGGAGTGTCATCACTAACGTTTGCTGACGACCTTAAGCTCTGGAACATTGTGGAAATCCCAAGATTCCCGAGGCAATTCAACGCGCTCTGGATAGGCTCTTGGAACGGTCTACCTTATGGTTGATGCCCCTAAATAAGTTCAAGTGCTCTGCCATCCGAAACGGAGGCGCAAATCCTCCCACCTTATATGTTGTCGGCGATAGCACGCTCTCTGTCTCCACGCGACGGGTTGATTTATGGGTTGTACACTAATCATCATTTCATCCTCACCTGATTCATACTTATCGTATTTTGACGGGTAAGATTGGCCCGGACTTGTCAGGGCTAATTATTTCCGCCACGTTACCTAACCTCCGCGGTCAAGCACTGAAACTGCATAAACCACGGGCTGATGGGATTAGGACGGAAACTTGACTTTTGCGCCAAGTAATAAAGCGCTGGAATCCGCTTCCAGCTCACGCGGTTAGGGAATCTACGGTTAAGGGTTTTGCCCGCCAGCTGGATGCCCTTGGGTGGCGACACCAAACCTGTTCCTTAACTGACTCACCTTCAAATTTCAGTTCCATTTTAATGACGCAAATATCACGGTATTAGACTTGCGTAGCTCTTTCCACTTTCTCTTTTTGTTTCCAAAGTTTACTCTTTACATTTCTTCAGGTAACCCGCCCAGCAGGGACCGCTAGGGCAGCATACGTGAACATTACTTACTTGGACAGGGTGTGAAGTTTTAGGTCCATCAGTATTTCAAAGTCTGCCAACCCCTGGTTCAACGACCTGCTGAAAAAGGAATACTTACGGTATAATCCTACCATTTCAGTCCCGCTTGCACACGAACTTGAAATGAAACTATGAAATAACTTAACCGTTAAACGGCAAGGACGAACGTAATGTGTCAGCGGCTAACTAACTAACAGTTTGATATATCTATCCAGGAATTCATGGTAGACAGGAAACACATCAAAAATTTATTTTCCCGCTGTCTGTTAATCCGATGGCCTGGAGCGCTCGCGGTTTGTATTCAGAGCGAGCGCCAGCCTATAGATCACAACAAACAATCTGTCGATCCACATTCGTCGCCAAGGTATGTAGTGCACTTATAATTCTAGCTATAATCCCACAGAGGAAAACCTGGTTGGTCTCTAACCTGCGCTACATTCAATAATATACACTCCAAGCGCGGTGCGAACTTATCACGGATTTTTGGTTAAAGATCTACCAGCGTAGCAGTGAATTCGACAGATACCGAATCAATCTCAGCCCGATTTCCTCAGTGTCGTCAATAACCCAACTGTCGGTCTGACAGGAGCCCGATGGAAGCTCGAGACGGCATGCCGATTTCACAGCTAAATTGACCAGAGGTAATTTTGAGATCTAATAGGCCAGTAAATCATTAGCGTCATTTCCAACGGTCCTGGTAAGATAAGTCTAAACAGTCTTGCCATTTTAGTATTCCATTTTATTCTTTGGTATTATGAGTTTTATGAAGGTAGTAAAACATTTGTTGGCGGGATCTCTACCCGAAAACAGTCATTTGCCAACAATTTTAGAAACCTGCTAACAAACGCTATCACAATTTAATATTTTCGGTATAATCTGGCAAGAGCGTCAAGATACCTGCAGGGCTTTCTTTTAGTAAGCCATCTATATAGATTGTTCAAGGCGCACGCTATGTCTGACGTTCCTGATTACGACGCAAATGACAATATCTGCACCGTAAAAATAATTTGCTTAGGTGACAGCGCCGTCGGAAAGTCAAAGTAACAGAAGTTCGAATTGTCACATACTTATAGATTGTTAGAGCGTTTTCTGATACAGGATTAGTATCCTTTTTATTTGATTGCCACGTCAATTTGCCTAAAAAATGTAAACTAATATTTACTATAATTTAGCTTAGTTGTCCATTATTTTATGTGCATTCTTAGGTCAGTGTACTTTGTAAGTTTATTAATTATCTAACTTGCATGAACGATGGTGTTCTTTGACAAATCACCCAGAAATCTATAAAATATAGTGCAACATATGCCGAACTAATCGTAATTTTGACAAGAATGTTTGTTTTTACAATAGTTTGATTGTCGAAAGTGTTACGTAGTTTACATTTCAAGTAACTAAATGCGCATTTCTTTATGATTTTGTGTGCATTATGACCTGTTGTTTTTCTATCCTCTTACCATCAGTGGCCGCGGAGCATATCTTCATAACTTTTGGCGTACAGACCCATTTATATTACACACTGCTGCAAATATGGAAGCTTGGAGTATCTAACAGTATCGAGAGGGATCTCGCAGCGCAAGGATCCCAGGGATCTTTTAGTAATAGTGTCCTCAGACATCAAATCTATTCACGACAACTACAAGGGTCGCTGTAGCCTACTGGATATTCCGTTCTATATGTAGAGTGTCATTTCTCCTGACTCCGGATCTTTTCCGATTTGTCTTTGGCTCGTATGTACGCCTGATTCTTGATACGGGCTACCCGCTGCCTATCCTCTCACCAAATCCGAATGTGATGTGATAGAGTAGGTTTAACGGTGTGGATCAAAATACGTCCCTGAGTTGCGAGACTTGTCGTATCCACTCTGACTTTAAGGACTGGATTTATTCTCTCTAGGGTACCGTCGTTACCTCTTGGGATTGATATTCACTCGATGTATTCTCAGAAAAGAACTTGGTTGCGATTTACAGGACTTCTTTCAACTCAACACTGCGAGTTCGACACGAGGCCAACTACTGAAACTGAAACCAAGGAATCTCCGTGTGCGGCTTACTTTGACCTGAACAACCCGCGTAGTGAAAGCTTGGAACCGGTTGCCGGAGCCTGTGGTTGATGCTGAGACAGTGGAACGTTTCAAACTGTTGAATTCTCACATGAGTGCGCCGGGATTCTGTTGTCTCTAAGACAGTTACGGAACCTTGTGCCGCAATGACCCACGCCAACTTCGCAATGATCGAAAAGTGAAGGAGCTGACAAAGGATCATCCTTCTGCTCTCCAGAATCTAATGATCTATTGCCGTCCGAGATGATGCTGATCATCGAAAAAGTCGTCCCGTAGTTCAAAAGCAAACCGTTGCACAAAGGACCCGTGTGTCGACCGAGGACTGAAGTCCTTACTAAACAGCCGGCGTGAACTCTGGAGCATATTCGAGGGCACACAACTAGCCTCGAATTATCTAAGGTATAAACAAGTTCGAAATGTGTGCACCCTGAGTAAGGTAAGCCTATCAAGAAGCACTGCATAGCGAACTCTCGCTGTCTTGTCCTAATGATACTGAACTTCAGTGGAATAGGATCTCGGCCACTATGCACGACGCAGGAGCATCTGCTTGTAGCACTATCAGTCGTCATCGCACCGGTCACTGGATATCGGAGAGGTCCGTGAACCTTTTGAATGCTAGAAGGCACCTCCCGGCTGGTTCTGAACACAATGTGACCAGACGGGCTATTAGGCGTGAACTAAAGCGGAGCCTACGTGCTGACAAGGAAGCCTGGTGGACCAGTCGGGCTCAAGAAATGGAGGAGGCAGGAGCAGTAGGCAATTACCGCAAGCTCTTCCAGCTAATCCGCACCACTGGTCCGAGAAAACCAGGCGTTAGTGAGACAATCAGGGACAGCGCGGGTGCGCTGATACACAAAAAGGAGCGCCGTATGGCTCGTTGGGCTGAGCACTTTGAACATCAGTTCAGCTGGCCCCCTGCTCCCGGCCCTCTTCCTACTCAGGTGATGCAGGACGAGCCATGGACGGTTAGTTTAGAGCCTCCGTCGGAGGCCGAGGTCCAAAAGGCGATCACAGCCCTCAATCGTTTTCGTACCGCTGGCCCGGATTCCCTACCACCTGCACTATTTAAGGATGGAGGTGAGGTCCTCTGCAAAGCACTGACCTCCCTACTCGAACGTATCTGGAACGAAGAGAGTGTGCCGGCTAATTGGAGCGAATCGATTATAGTGGCAATATACAAGAAGGGCAGTCGCACAGACTGTGCGAACCACAGGGGTATTAGCCTAACGCCAGTTGTGACAAAATTACTGACCTCGATTATCGTTCGTCGCCTCAGTGCAGAACGGGAATCTCGGATTAGGGAAGAGCAGGCCGGTTTTCGCCCAGGACGTGGCTTTATAGACCATATATTTACTTTGCGGCAGGTGCTAGAGCAGCGCCACGCATACCGCAGACCGACAATAGCTGTGTTCCTCAATTTCAAGAGTGCGTTCGATTCAGTCGATCGATCGATTCTGTTCGAAATACTTGCGCGGAAAGGTGTTCCCACGAAATATGTGAACATCCTTCGTGCTCTATACTCGAACACTAGAGGCCGCGTCAGCGTCTATGGTGCCCTATCGGATAGCTTTTCGACTACAAGTGGCGTTCGACAGGGTTGCCCGATTTCCCCATTTTTGTTCAATTTCGTCGTGGATTCTATCATGGAGTGTTCCCTTGCGGAATCTCACGATGTAGGTGTTGAAGTGCTGCCTGGTGAACATTTAGTTGATCTAGATTATGCGGACGATATCGTCTTGCTTTTCGACAATGTTAAGGCGGCACAATCAACCCTGAATAGCCTATCCAGAGTGGTCCCATTATTTGGTATGCACTTCGCACCTTCAAAGTGCAAAGTGTTGCTGCAGGACCACCAGCCACTCGATGACCCCTTGACGCTTGTTAACGAGGAACTCGAGGTGGTTGATCAATTCACTTATCTTGGCAGCTGCATCAGCAATGATGGGCGCATAGAAACTGACGTGAGCTCACGCATTGCAAAGGCCAGAGCTGCCTTCTTGAACCTGCGTCATCTTTGGCGACAGAAGGGTGTTTCCCTCCGTCTGAAAGGCCGTGTATACAAGGCCACAGTGAGGGCCGTTCTGCTGTATGGTAGTGAGACTTGGCCCCTTCGGTCTGAAGATCTGAGGCGCCTTCAAGTCTTTGATCATCGTTGTTTGCGAAGCATTGTTGGTGTCGGATGGCACCAGCGTGTCCGCAACGATGATGTGCGTATTCGAGTACTAGGTGGTGATAATCATGCTAGCTCCCTAGAACAACAGATAGCACTGAATAAGTTGCGTTGGCTCGGGCACGTGCTACGTATGCCTGGTCACCGCTTACCTAGAAGGGCCTTGTTCAGTCTACCAGGTGTAGGATGGCGCAAGTCTCGAGGTGGACAGAAGTTGACTTGGCAGCGGGAAATGAAGTCACTGACGACCAAACTGGGTGCCGTTGGTCCGTCTCGCCTTCCGGGTTGGAGTCCACGTGACTCACCTTGTGCTTGGCTCGAGACTTTATAGGACATGGCTCGCAACCGACACCAGTGGCGCGTCTGCTGCCGTCTCCTAATTGAGTTGCCTGTTTAAAGTATGTTTGGTGCTGAGTTATCTGCGGGGTAATGGCTGATTATGACGCGTGGCAGTGAAAGCCGCAAGGAAGCTGTCTCGCCGATGCCGCCTTATCTTTGCACGATAGCCAGCTGTTTGTGACGGTATGTTGATTACACAAGGTGTAGGCGCCTTGACCCTGAATGTTTGCTTAGGGCATTAAGGTTTTCAGGTAAGTCCCCCTTCTCTCCCTCTTCTTATTCTTTATTTCATAGGTCCTCATGGTTGTATGGCAGCGAAGCATCAGTTCAAATGGCTGATGTACTGCTGTTGATGATGGTGATGATGAGTAAGCGGCTTCTCGGCCAGGAAGGACTAGTCGGTTTCTTGAACGAGGTTGGACACGATACCATAATGTGCTCACCGATGTACTCCGAGTAACCGATGGAACGAAAGATTGACAGCACGTGATCGCTTCGGCCAACTGGTGCATCTATGGTCACGCTGTCGATCACTAGTTTCTCGTTGGATAGCACAAGGTACAAAACACAGGGTGTCACTCGTCGGAGAGCTGACATTGTTGTATAGAGGTACATCGGCAAGCACCTCTTACAAATCAACTTTGAATTGTTCGCTGTGCAATGCTGGAACTTCTATTGCGTGCAGTTTGAAGTCACCCACCAGAAGGACGTGACTGTGTGGTCGTGCCGGGACCCGTTTCATCGCAGAAGCTAGACACTGACCCATTTTCAAAATGGACCTTGGTGGTAAACTAATGCTAGTAAACACACATCACCACATCTTAGGTGCACACGACACCAAAGAGAATCGACGACGTTCGTTTCTGGGTCCTCGTTGATATCGACAGGCGGGTCGGATCGATAATACAGTAGCCCCCCACATCTGCCAGGTAGATCGTTTCGTATATTAGTCATGCCGGGTAGTGCAATCTCGGCATCCGTGATCTCCTTGTTCAGTCATGTTTCGGTGACTATAACTAAGTCCCAATGCGTAGAGACCTGACGGACACGAAGTCCGGTTAGCTTGCTGAGAAGACCTTGTGCATTGGTATACAAGCAACTGAGGGCGTCAGTGATCCGAAGTGTGTTTGTGAATGATGGTTTCCGGTGAGGGTCTATGCCGACCATTGCGAAGACGGTTGCCGGTCGTTTTTTGTAGGACCAATGAGGCAGGCCCTAAGGCCAGTTCAGGTTGTTGTAGAGTTCTCAGCGCTAACAAGAACGTGACCATCCTGTCCTACTTCATCTGCCGGTATGTTTTGTCATTTTCTCTGTTCTGGGCTACACTGTGACAGAATTGTATTGCTTGCCCAGTGTTACATTGTCAATCTGTGGCCAGGTGCCTATCGCCTTTATACCCATTTCGGATGGCAGCATTTTACGCTTTGTGTGCCGTATGTTGATCACATGTGCTGCCATCAGTTCGGATCCAATGATACTTTCATCATGTGGGGACCACACACTTTGTAGTTAGCTGATAGCGGTAACCTTGATTT